TGGGAATTGCGAAAAAATCTGGAATTGGAATGAAATCGCATCGGTTAACGAGTGCCATTTTGATAGTTTTGTTTCGTTCCTTATTCATTCACTAGTTTATTCCATGCCGCCATGTAAACGATTATATAACAAGATATTGTTCGTAGTTGATCGTTATGAATAGAATATTTTTGATAGCTGTAAATATTTATAGCATTGACTATATTGATCGCAATAACAATAGTAATAATAATGGAAGTAATTACAGTGATGAAACTAAAAAAACAACAGCAACAATAGGTAGAATGGTACATAAATGAACAATCGTAACAATGATATAATGACCGAAATAACCAGATCCCATTATGATCACATTAAGGAGATCAATCGTCGGAACAATTACATCAGTAGCAATAGCTTTATGGAATATGTCTGGTTATGAATTGCGCACTGAGCTGACGTTAAGAGATTTGAATTGATACTTCAGCTTGAATAATTTCAGTGATTTGTGATAATTACTTCATCGATACCGATGATTAGTTAGTGTAAATGATTTAAATGCATCGTATTCGATAGCTTTGACTCATTCTTCTGCACTTCGTTGAGACGAGTGACTACCTGTTTAGTGCTGAATCGGAATCACTTTCAGAACTATCCTTCAAATTAATGCGTTTTAAATCAGCTTGATTCGGTCTGAATCAAAGCTGATGATGTCGCCTTCCGTATACTTTCAATCGGACTGGTTGATTTTAGGTATCGATGGGCAACCAGGTGAACCAGGTCAACGTGGTCGTGACGGAGTCTACTTGCCGGCACCACCACCCGAAGCGAATCTATGTCAGAAAGTAAGCTTATCACCTTCTGATTGAGAATTTTAAAAATTTTCCGGATGAAACTTAGAAACTTCTAAATATTGGAAGCCTGTGAATATGTCTCAAAATGATGTCGGTCATATGGATATTAATGATGAACCGCTGTATCAAAATTGCATTTTCAGTGTCCCACAGGAGCTCCAGGACCACCGGGACTACCAGGGCCGAAAGGACGTCGTGGTGAGCCGGGAAAAGCCGGAAAAGCCGGTCGTAAGGGTGAGCCGAATCGTCAAGGACCACCGGGTCCACCCGGATTACGCGGTGAACCTGGACCACCTGGCCCAAAGGGACCACCCGGTGATCGCGGTCGAGTACTGAACGGAGCACCTCAAGGACCAGCTGGACCACCTGGTAGAATTGGACCTCGAGGACCTCCAGGAGGAAAAGGTGAGGACTGTTCGGAATGTTCAGAAAGAGTTTCGACTTAGCTAGAGTATATGAACAACGTAATATGATACCTTCAAATAACCCGCATAATTCACGCTTACAATTGGCTTGAGTTGGCATTCAGATTGAATATTCAGGTATGTTTCAAATTGTGACATTCAGGAGAGATAATCTGAGTTGATTTGAAGCTATCTTGAGCAATTGTAAAAACTGATCGATATTGTTTAAGGTCATGATGGCAAACCAGGGCTACCAGGTCACCAAGGTGTGAGAGGAATGATTGGAGAACGGTCTGTTGAAAATATTCTTTTGCTTTCTAATATTTTTTCATTCAATTTTTCTTGCATCATTTATAGTAAAATTATACAAACCGAGTGAGATAATATATTTTTATTCACATCATTCGGGTATTGATTCGAGCACTTCCTTTAACGGTATTAATGAATTCCTTGTTTGCAGGGGATTACCCGGAAATCCTGGCCTTCCAGGTCCACCAGGCCCAATTGGAGACCCTGGAGACCCAGGATCATGTGCACACTGCCAAGGTAATAATCTGTTCATCTTAAATTTAAAAAAATTTCATGTTTCTTGAGCAGATAACGCGTAAAATAACAATTTTGATGAACTCATTACCAATAAAAAATGTAATCTTAATTTTTTTTGTTTGTAAACTGGTCATACTTCATTTGATCATTCATTACTGATTAGACAACATCACATGTGCTTGATTCGCATCATTCGGACATTGATTCGAGCAGTTTGTTTATCCGTGCTTGACTGCTTATCACTAACGATGATGCTAGCAATTACTATTGATAACGATGCCACTGATAATATTCTTTACCAAACTAATTTCCAATTGAAGGATACGCACCATCAGCGTCAACTGATAAACCAGACTTGCCGCCACGAGGTCCAACCCAAGAGCGTCCTTTAAACCAGCGTACCGGACAAGGTCCAAGAAGTAATAACCGTGTCTCACCTTCCCAGCAACCACCCGAATTCGATGACAGTGTTTACGATGAGAAACAGCCATTCCGTGCTAATAGAGATTACCTGTGGATTTAATAGGATTCTAAGAGATGATCGTTTGTAAAAAATATTTTTGTATTGATACGTTTATGTAACAAAACTGATTGAAACATTTATTTCAGAATAAAATGTACGTATCTGCAGCCATTTTTGTTCACTGATTGCAAAATTATCAGTTATCAACCAAAGCAACGACAACAGCCATCATATGGAATGCTTTAATATAACGTAATATTTACATGTTAACAATGAAAATACATTTTCATCACAGCAACTACGTACAGTGAAACAAACTGCACTGGTGACGATCGCAATAAAGATTATTGCTAACGATAAGTGATTAATAAATAACTTTTTATAAACAATCACTTGATCATACAATTCTACTTTTAATGCATACTTCACAATTCATCCATATTCTGGATGCAAATTTTGTGGCCTTCATTCTCTCGGCTGTGGTCACGGGTCGTTCAGTACACTGATGGCATATGGTGTTTCTGTTCATTTCCTCCTACCGAGGAAACCAGCGCCTAAGCATCTTCCCAGTTGGCAAGTCATACCAGCAGGGCAAACACCCATTGAGCAAGCTGAAATTTCATTGCTGTGTTCACGATTGATCCAAGATCCGGATTTCATTCGAGCGGAAACTCGATTCACACACCATAAAACAAGCATAGCCACCATTAACTTACTTACTCACAAGTAACGAACACATTGAACCTAAAGAAAAGGAAAAATCACAAAAGCAATGATATTCAAGTGAAAACAATAGAAAACTCACCAAAAGTTGAAGCAAAAGCATTCTGAATGCAAACACCATTAAGACAGTACTGTCCAATTGGGCATATCGCTCCACTGGCACAAGCTACAAGTTAACAAACTTTCACCTTTTCAGAGTAATATTACACTCATTACGAGATTTACTCAGGTTACATGTTAACAATGAACAGTATGATTTATCACTGAATTTTATTAGGGTTCGACTGAATTATCAAATTGAACAATAGATGTCATAAATGATACAAACATGCGATGATATCATCCAAATACTGTGACTAATAACAATGTAACGATTAAGTTAACGATGAATGATAGTATGATATGGTTATTGATAAGACTGAGACAGTAGTGATAAACAAACAGGTGGTAGCTGGTCGAGTTTGACTGCCGCTGAAGACCACATTACTTTGTGAGCAAAATCCGTTGACACAGATCTGTCCGTTCAAACATTGTTGCAACAGATTGCACGGCTGTGTTCCTGAAGTGTTATCTTTTAAAAACTGAACCTACAAAATGAATAATCGATCATAACATGACTGATAACAACAGTGAAGGCTTTAGTCGAGATTCCTGTTTTGGAAACGGGATGAAAAATTTTTGAAGATTTGAAATTTCTGTAACATTTGCTGACTTTGGTATCATTGGATAGAGCTCAATTTGATCAGTACGTATTTGAGAATTTGAAATTTCGAAAAAATTCGCGTTCATTGGATCGAGCACAACAAGATCAGTATAAATTTGCATAGGTAAGTCAATTTGATGGACTCTGGACTGAACTATAGGCCAAAATGTACTTCAATCGACCTAAAAAAAACTCATGAGGGTGTGGCAGCGCATCCGAGGTATAGGTACTAGAGTACGAGGCTAGGAATGCGTTTGATAATGATCCTGAGCTCATACTCGTTGAATTATTAGTAGAATTAGCTTCGCATTTACGCCCTTATTAAACAGATTTATATGCAGTTTAGCAGTGATAAAATCAGTGATAACAGTGGTATAACAGCCATAAAATCATTTGGCTACTCATTGGACTGTAACCCCATCCATAGTCCGTCAAATGTCGTTCTCTTTTCGGACTTATCATGATCTCTGCAAACTTGATCGAGCATAAGATCATGGATTTAATCTCGAGAATGTAACATAAGCAACTGTGATTGTGGAATGACAGATAGGATGCTTCCTTTTAAAATCTTGTGGTCAATGCTGATCCACTGTGTAAGCTTTAAGGATATGATCAAATAAAGCTGATATGAATATATCATGCACGAATGCGATACAAGGCATTCTTATGTACATCACTGAATCTACCAACCTCCAACATTGTTCACAATTGTATCGTAAACGCATCGTCCGTAAGCACAGCTCTGTCCTGTATAGCAATCCGTATTCAACGTACAGACTGAAAATTTGTATGGTGAACTTTTTGTTGGAAACAACAGGAAATGCATTTATCAACTTTGAAACGAAATGAAATGCATTTGGAATAAACTCTGAAATAAGCTAATCCTTTCTGATGATGAGCGATTAGTTAAGGATACACGTAGGTATTGGTGTGCAGCATGATTAGCCACGTATCAAATTGATCATTTATTTTATCGTTTGATCATTGACAGTATCTCAGATTTATTATATTGCAAAAGTATTGATTGTGTCTTTAAAAAACCGGAAATTACCACATAATTAGCATCATCATTTGTATTATCAATGTAACTGTCGTATGCATTGCCAGATTTGATATTGTGCTATGTTGAGATGTCACACGCAAATGCGTTGAGAACATGGGATAATACGGATATGCAGAGATCGGACTTGAATATGACAATGTATTGTCGATATTCGACATTTAGGTAAGATGAGAGAGGGAGTGCTG